CTGAGCCAGGAAGTTACACAATTGAGTTGATGCCCTAGGTCTGGGAAGGTTGAATCAGAAACAAAGTTCAGGAAGGACTGGAAGGAAAAAGGGGTAGAAGGAAAAGAAGCTGGTTATTTTTTAAGGTAGAAAAACCAGAAACAATTCCACTGGTGAATGGAAGGATGGGCAGTCATGGGCAGCACCTCCCTGAAGGCTCAAAGGGGAGGACAAGGTACCAGAACCAGGGCAGAGGATAATTTTTAGCATCATCCTTAGCTCGCTGGTCCACTAGAAGCATCTGATGCTGCCCTTCGGTACTTTTATAGGCACAACTTTAGAATATTTTATTATTTTAGCCATTGTACAAAAATTACAAACCATAAATCCTTTACTTAATATGGTTATTTCCTGTATCTCTAAGTACTTTTTTTAATCCATGATTTCTGCCAAGTTGTGTTGTCCTCTACTTACTTGACATTAGTTTACATGTACTTTCCCCCCCATGGGTAATTTATATATCTATTTATCCTTTCTTGTGATAAAATACACATAGCTTAAAATTTACCATTTAATCATAAAATTCAGGGGCATTTAGTAAATTCACAGTGTTGTGCAACCGTTAGCACTGTCGAGTTCCAGAATGTCTTCATCATCCGAAAAGGAGTCCTTGTACCCATCCTGCAGCTACTCCCCATTACTCCTCCCCTCCCCCTCACACCCCAGCACTCAGCACCTGGCAAACACTAATCTATTTTCCCTCTCTGTGGATTTTCCTGTTCTGGGCATTCCAGATAGAGAGAATCATATGCAATATGAGACCTTTTGTGTCTGGCTTCTTTTACTAAGCATAATGACGTTAAGGTTTATCCGTTGTTACAGCATGTATCAGTGCTTCATTCCTTTTTGTGGCTCAATAATACTCCATTTTATGGCTATCTTACATTTTATTTATCCATTCAGTAGTTGATGGACATTTGCACTGTTTCCACCTTTTGGCTCTATGAACATTCACGTGCAAGGATTTTGTCTGAGTACCTATTTTCATTTCTCTTAGGTATGCACCTAGGAATTGCTGGTCATACGGTAACTCTATATTTACCTTGCTCGGGAACCGCCAGACTCTTCTCCACAGTAGCTGCACCATTTTACATTCACACCAGCAGTGGGTGAGGGCTCCAGTTTCTCCAATCCTCACCAATACTAGTTATTGATTGGTTGGTTGACTGATTGCCATTCTAGTGGGTGTGAAGTGGCATCTCATTATAGTTTTGATTTGCACTTCCCCAATAAAGTGGCCAATGACATTGAGCATCTTTTCATGTGCCTTTGGCCATTTGTATAGATTCTTTTGAAAAGGCCCGTTGAAATCTTTTGCTTACTTTTTAACAAGATTTTTTGTCTTTTTGTTGTTGAGTTGTAAGTTTTTCATGTATTCTGGATACTAGACCCTGATCAGATTTATATGATTTGCAAATATTTTGTCTCACTCTGTAGATTGTCTTTTCATTTTCTCCATCACATGATTTTAGCATCTTTGTTAAAAATCAAATGACCATAGATGTATGTGCTTATTTCTAGAATCTCAGTACTAGTTCATTGATATGTGACCTAGAATTGATATGTCTACCCTTTTGCTAGTACCACACTATTTTGATTACTGTGCCTTTGTAGTAAGTTTAGAAATCAGGAACTTTGAGTCCTCCCACTTTATTTTTCCTTTTCAAAATTATTTCAAGGTCCCCCATAATTTTATATGCATTTTAGGATCGCTTTTTCCATTTCTGTCAAAAAAGGCCTTTGGGATTTGGACAGGGATGCATTGATTCTGTAGACCACTTCAGGGAGTTTTACAATCTTAGTGATCTTTGGTATGTTGTGTTTGTTTGCACTTTCCTCTAAGTATTTTTTTTTAAGATTTTATTTATTTGTCAGAGAGAGAGAGAGAGAGAGAGAGAGACAGCACAAGCAGGGGAAGCAGCAAGCAGAGGAACAAGCAGGCTTTCCTCTGAGCAAGGAGCCCAATACAGGACTCGATACCAGGACTCTGGGATCATGAACTGAGCCATCCAGGCATCCCAAGTATTTTTTAATTTCTCTTATGATTTCTTCCTTGATCTGTTGGTTGTTTGAGTTTGTTGTCTTAAAAAAAAAAGTTGTCTTTATTTCTACATATTTGTGAAATTCCCAATTTTCCTCTTTTTTTTATGTCTAGTTTCTATTGTGATCAGGAAAGATACTTTATAAAGGATTTCCATCTTAAACTTATTGAGACTTGTTTTGTGGTCTAACATATGGTCTATCCTGAAGAAAGTTCTATGTGTACTTTCAAAGAATGTACACTCTTTGCGAAGAGTGAAGAGTTCTGTAGATGCCTGTTATGTGTAGTTGGTTCATGGTGTTGTTGAAGTCCTCTGTTTTCTTTTGATCTTCTGTCTGGTTACATTATTGAAAGTAGGATAATGAATTCTTCAACTATCAGTTTATAACTGTTTCCCCCCTTCAACTCTGCCAAAGCTCTCTTTTGAGGTACATGAATGTTTATAACTATTATGCCTTCTTGGTGAATGAGTCTTATATCAATATGTCATGGCTTGCTTTGTCCCATTGTAATTTTTGACTGAAAATCTGTTTTGTCTGGTGTTAGGATAGCTACTTCAGCTCTCTTTGGATTTCTTTGTTCATGGAGTGTCTTTTCCATCCTTTCACTTTCAGCCTATCTGGTCATAAAGTGAGTTTCTTGCAGATAGCGTATAGTCAGATGTTTTTTCATCTATTTTGCCAAGATCTACCTTTTGATTTTAGAGTTCAGTCCACTTACATTTACAGTAATTACTGATAAGAAAATATTTCTGCCATTTTGCTATTTTGTTTCCTATACACCTTGTATCTTTTTTGTTCCTTAGTTTCTCTATTGCTGTCTTCTTTTGTGTTTAATTGGGGGTTTTTTGTACTGTATCGTTTTGATTCCTTCTTCATTTCCTTTTCTCTATATTTTTTTAGTGGTTACCCTGGAGATTATAATTTATATTTTAAATTTATAACAAACTAGTTTAAATTAGCTTCAAAAGTATAAAAAAAACTCCGCTCCTGTACAATTCTATCCTTCCCCTTTATGTTTCTGTTGTCACAAATTACATCTTTTAACATTGTGTGTTCATTAACATAGGTGTATAATTGTTGTTTTATGCATTTGACTTTTAAATCACATGGGGGAAAAAGAGTTACAAACCAAAAATATAGTAGTACTTGCCTTTTTTATTTGTGTATAAATATCACATAGTTCACAGTCCAGTTCAGGTTAATACCAACTTAATTTCAATAAGATACAAAACTTTACAGCTCTATAGCTCTATTCCCACCCCTCCTTTGTCCTGTTGTTGTCATGCAAATTGTATCTTTAGACACTGGGCCCCCATCAAGACAGGTGTGTAATTATTGCTTTATCCAGTTGTCTTTTAAATCAGGAGAAAAAGAGATACAAGTAAAAACAACATTTATACTTTTATGTATATCCACATTGTTACCTTTATCACTGTTCTTTTCTCTTCCTGTGGATTCAAGTTACTTTCTAATATCCTTTCACTTCAGCCTAAAGAATTTATTTTAGTCTTTCTGGCAGAACAGATTTGTTAGAAACAAATTTTCTCAGTTTTTGTTTATCTGGGAATATCTCATCTTCTCCTTTTTTGGAGGATAGTTTTACTGGATACAGCATTCTTGGTCCCCAGTCTTTTCTTTGTGCACTTTGACTGTTTCATCTCACTGCTTGCTGATCTCTGGGGTTGATGAGAAATCACCTGTTAATCTTATTGAGACTTCCTTGTAGGTGATGAATCACTTTTCTCTTCATGCTTTTAAGATTCTCTCATTGGTTTTTAACAGTTTGAGTATGATGTATTTAGGTGTGGATCTCCTTGAGTTTATCCTACTTGGAGTTTTCTGAGCTTCTTGGAAGTGCAGTATTCTTTCTGTCCCCCTCCACCCCCGCCATCTCTATCTCCATCTGTCTCTCAACTCCTGGAACTCCTATTATGCATATATTGGTGTACTTAATGGTGTCATACTGGTTTCTGAGGCTCTGTTCATCTTATTCTTTTTTCCTTTTGTGCCTCAGAATTGACTGTCTCAATTAACCTCTATAAAAGTTCACTGATTCTCTCTTCTGCTAGCCTGCATCTGGTGTTGAAGCCTTCTGCTTAGTTTTTCATTTCAGTTTTTGTACTTTTCAACTCCAGAATTTCTGTCTGGTTCCTTTTTATAATTTTTAAAATCTTTATTGACAGTCCCTGTTTGATGAGACCTCATTCTCTTCTGGTTTCTTTTAGTTCTTTGTTCACCATTTCTTTTAGTTCTTAGAGCATATTTGAGACAGTCGATGTAAAGTTTTTGTCTAGTAAAGTCCAATGCCTGGGCTTCCTCAGGGACAGGTTATTTCCTTCTTTTTTTGTCTATGAATGGACCATACTTTGTTGTTTCTTTGCATGCCTTGTAATTTTTGTGGAAAATTGTTCATCTTGAATATTATAATGCAGTAACCCTGGAAATAGGACTACCCCCCCCATCTGAATTTGCTGTTGCTGGTTGTGATTTGTAGTTGATTGTTTAATGACTTTTCTAAACTATTTTTATAAAGACATTACTAATTTGTTGTGTGTGGTCACTGAAGTCACTGTTCCTTAAGCTTAGTGGTTAACTGGTAAGTAGTTAGAAAATTCCTTAAATCCCACCACCGCCAGCACAATAAAACTCTTCTGGTCTTTGCAGATTGGTTCTGTGATGGAGTACTCCCTCAAAGCTTAGGCAGGCCTTACTTAGGCAACTCTGCCTTCGCCTTCACTTCCTGCTTATGTGGAGCCTAATGATCAGCCAGAGGTTAACACTTACCATCTTCTGGGGTCTTTCCTAAACATACATTAGCCCTGGGCATGCATATGGCCTTCTGGACTCTGGTTTATGTGGGAGCTTTTTAAAATCTTTTTTCCTCTGCGTATCTTCTTCCTCAGCCTCTTCCTTTTCAGGCCGTTCAGACTCCCTGCTGCTTGCCTCACCTGTTATCCCTGCCCCAGGTGGTTGTGGCTGACAGACTTGCCTTTAAATGCTTTCCACAAATGCTGCCCAGGAGGCCACTTCAGCCCTGAGAAAGTTCCAAGTGAGAGAAAACAAAGGTAAGACCCTGAGTTGATCCCTCAGGGAGCCAGGATACAGGTCAAAACATACAACCACAATTCTTTGAGAACGAAGTTTATATTACCCTCTCTGTCACCAGCAAAGCCACACCAGGAACACAGCCTCCACACCAGCTGCCTCTTAACTGGGGGTGGGGGATGAAAGTCGGGTAAGTTCAAAATCCAGAACACAACTGTACTGAAATTTAGCAGCTTCTTTCTTCATTAAGCCTTTCCCTGCTTGTTGTTAGTTTCTTGTTAAATTCCAGAGTTCTGTAAGTGTTGGTTCTGACAGGTTTTGTCAGCTTAATTACTGCTTTTGTGGAGGGACAGGTTTCTGGGATTCCCTAATCTCAGGTATGAACATTTTGCAGTTATTTTTATGTTGATAGCGTGCTCTCTAAAAAGAATAAGCCATTTTAGAGTACCAACAGCAATGTATTTCCTCACAGCCATGTCAACATTTATTATAAATTTTTAATTTTTTAATGATTTCATTATGATTAAAGAATACTTCATAGGCATATTGATTTGAATGTCTTCCATTTTGGTTGGGTTTGAACCCTTGTTGAGTTAGTGTTTGTGTTTTTTGTAAATGGTTGTGTCCTTTGGTCAGTAGCCCATTCAGATATCAGCCTTTCATGTACCTTTCAGTTTATCTGATCCTAAGCCTGAAATGACGAGAGATGTCTGTGTGTGAGGCATAATCCATCTCAGCTATAGACGGACAGCTCCTAATGCTGGAGAAAGCTTGTTGGGCCAGCCCTGGGTATCTTTAAATCATTCATTCATTCAACAGAAATGCACCAAGCCCTACTGTGTGCCAGGTCTGTGCTGATTCTGGGGAAATGACAGGGACTAGAGAGCCCTGGCCTACCCCTTGTGAGCAAACAGTTTTTATAGGGGTGACACCGAGCAAGCAAGACGTGCAGAATGTCATCTCAGAACACATCTTTTCTGTTGAGCTGTACTAGTTTTGATTTTATAAAAGTTTAAAAAAAAAAAAAAAGATGTCCATACACTTGCCTATCACATCCTTGAAATGAGAGGTGACAGTTAGCCCCTTTCACCTCAGCAACTTGATCTTCATGGTGCATGGGCTTGGTCCTTAGGGTAGAGCTGGAGGGGGATTTCCCTCCTGGGACCAGTGGGCCCAGGCCCTCTTCCATAGGGAACCTAGAACTTCAGAGCATTTAGCTTTCTTCTGGAGGCTCACGTCACCTGACAGACAGTTCCTTCCAGGACAGAAAGCCCAGCGGTTTGCAGATGGCCAGGCCTGAGAAGACTGCGTCAGCCCTTCCTCAGAACGAAGGTAGGTGTCTCTCACCTGCACAGGTAGAGCGGTTCTGAGGCCTGAGGCCATGAGGGAGTGGACAAGCCACGGTTGAGGGATTCCCCTTGCATTCTGCCCACATCAGTCCGGAGCTGCCCCCTCTCCTCACCCAGCATGGCACAGTGGCCGGGATGGTGGTAGGTGAGTGAGGGTACCACAATACTCTGTCCTATCCATAGGGGTCCAGGAAGCTGAAGTGTTGCCCCTCCTGTCGCCCAGCCTGAATGGCAGCTGCTTCGACCATCCCCTGCACCAGGGGCTCCTCCACCCCACCCGGCGCTGCAGCAGTCCTACCTCGGCTCCAACTCCTAAATTGTCAAAGAGGCTCAAGGTGGATGCAGCCAGGGACATGTTCCCCACTGACTGGAGCCCACCACCTGTAGAGTTCCTGAACCTGAGGGTACCACCGGCCGGCAGGGGGACCCCAGCCCCGAGGTGGGTGGGTGTGGCAGGGCCACAGGCCCTGAGGACGTGGGCCCACCAGCTGCCTGAGGAGTTAGAGCAGGAGCCCCAGGGGAGTCTAGCCTCACTGGAGGAGCCGTTCGGGAGCACGGCAGGCCCAAGCCAGAAGGCTGCAGCTCCGGTGGTGGACACCCACAGCTTGGTAAGCCCGTGGCCCCCCCCCCCGGCCTCCTCTCCTTGCTGCCCTTTCTCAGTCATCTCCAGGCCACTCCCTTTTTGGCCATTCTTCCTTGGCCATATCCCAGCTGCCCTTCATTGGCCACTTCCCCCTAACTATCCCTCCTCAACCTCCTACCCCCCCGCCTCCCCCTAGCCCTTGGACCCTTGTGGCTGGGGTGCATCTCTCCCCGTGTTTCTGCTGCTAACCTCTGCTAACAGATGGCTTGGGTGGTGCCAGATTTGATGCTGCTTCTGTATGGGAGCCTTCAAGGCTTTTGTGCCTAAGGTTGAGGTTATCCCTGTGGGGAAAGGGGGACCTTGGTGCCTGGGTCTAAGTTAGGCCAGGCACAAAGACTCAGGCTGACTCTGGTCCAGTGGATTGGAATGTCTAAATGGAAACTTCAATGATGAACTTTAAGCTGGGTGGGAATAAACAGTTCTTGCTAGGTAGACTGGGAACACTTAGGGGCCCATGGATCCAGGAAATTTATTTTGAGAATAGGGCTTAATTATTTGTTTTGTTTGGTTTTCTTTTTAAGTAGAAGTTTTTTCTTCTTGTGGGAAGTCTTTTTTTTTTTTTTTTAAGACCTCATTTATTTGTCAGACAGCGCACAAGCAGGGGGAGAAGCAGGCTTCCTGCTGAGCAAGGAGCCCGATGTGGGACTCAATCCCAGGACCCTGGGATCATGGCCTGAGCCGAAGGCAGACACCTAACCAACTGAGCCACCCAGGCATCCCTGGTCTTAATTATTTATAATAGCCCAAGATTGTCAATAATCTAAATGCCTACCACTGGGCGCCTGGGTGGCTCAGTTGGTTAAGCGACTGCCTTCGGCTCAGGTCATGATCCTGGAGTCCCGGGATCGAGTCCCACATCGGACTCCCTGCTCAGCAGGGAGTCTGCTTCTCCCGCTGACCCTCTTCCCTCTCGTGTGCGTGCACGTGCGCTCTCTCTCTCTTTCTCTCTCAAATAAATAAATAAATAAATAAAATTTAAAAAAATAAATGCCTACCACTAGGGAATTAATACCTTATGGTCTAGTCCTACATTAGAGTACCCTGAAAGTGGGTTTTTTTTTTTTTTTTTTACTTATCTCTTTGGTATTGATATGGAATGACCCTCAAGACATACTATTAATTGAACAAAGCCAAGGCTAGAATAGGGTTCATAGTTTGCTACCATATGCGTTATGGATGGGGGGAGTCTGTGATGTATGACTGCTTGTCTGTGGATAAAATGTCTCCGAAAGCACACAGAGGAGTGAACACCTGTGAGGAGGGGCCTGGGTGGCTGGGGATGCAGGTGAGGGGAGACAGCTTACCGCATGCCTTTATACTTCTCGAGTTTTTAATCATGTGAAGGTATTGCCTATTCAGAAACATAAACAAGATAAATAAAGGGCTTAATTTAGATTAATTTTATTCTTCTCCCCCCTCTGTCTGTCTTTTTCTCTGTCCCCCATTCTCACGTCCTGTTTCTCCAGTTCACCTTTGGGGCCTCAGAGAGCTACGTCAATAGCTTGGATTACTTACTGCAGGAGAAGCGGTGAGTGTGGGAAGAGGTCCATCGTGGGGTCTTAATTCTGTGGGGCTGGCAGCGATTTCAGGGGGTTGTCCTCTAAGACTCCTAGCACATTCCCATCAGGATCGAGCAGCCTACCATACTCCTACACAGCATGTCTCCTGGAGCGCCCTGTGTGCTCTGATTAATAGTGAGCGTGGGGTACGGTAGTCAGGTCAAAGGGGGGGGTCGTCTGAAAGGCAGAAAGCCCCAGACCTCTGCCACATACAGAGCCCTCGCTCAGGGGAGCTCATGAATCTTGGTTTGGTGTGGGTGGGATGCAGGGGGAATCCCTTGCTCTCTTCTGCCCAATTCATGCCCATGTGAGGGCCTCTTGGCTCCCATTCAAGCATTCCGTGGGAGAGAAGGGGAAAAAGGCAGATGGCTTTGACAGAGGTGTACAGCCTGAGCATTGCCATGCCGGTGGTGTGGGCAAGTAAAGCTCATCAAGGCACCCAGCATTGGGAGATTCTTGCTCTGCCGGGTCCTGCGCCAGGCACTGGATATACGGAGGTGATAGTGCAGCCCTGCTCGCCTGGGGATGTATCCTAATGCTTCTAGTATTTCCCACGCTGTGAAGTGGCTATGGAGGGGCTGGAGTACTGGCACCTCAGGTAACCTGAGGGTCAGAAAAGGCTCCCCACAGGTATCCTTATCTTTGAACCTAGGAGAATTAGGAGATCGGGGGGGGCATCATGGGTGACCACACATGTGAAGGTGGGTATGACAGATATTCTGGTGGCCGACTAGAACTGGAATTCTTGGCACTGGGGAGTGGGGGTTGGGGCTTGACATAGCAGGAGGTGCAGCCAAGATGTGAACCGGAGCTGGGTCACGAGAGGCCTCATGCACACAAGGTTGAGTTGGGAGAATTTTAAGTGGGTAGTGATGTGTTTCCTGCTGTGTTTCAGAGATCACTAGGTTGCATTATGGAGAATGGATGGGAATGGGGAGAGAGGAAGTAGGGTGAATGGTGATGGGGGGTGGGGCCCTGGGAGGAGGGCAGTTGGGGCTATGATGAGTCTGCTGACCTGGGTGGCTGGGACTCTGGAGCCTGCGTGGAAGGGAATTCAGACCTAGACATGTGGCTTCGGAGAGGCCCGGGCACATTCAGCGGAAAATCATTCGGTTGTCACTGGCTGGGAGGATCCAAACTCCGGATGGCAGCCTGGACTGGAGGTAAAGTCTTTAAGAACTGAGGACCTTTGGGCAAAGGCAGGGCAAGCACCTGGAAGGGCAGGACAATGGCTGGGGAGGCTCCAAGGCTGTTGAGGGGCCAAGGATCAAGAAGGCTGAAGGATGGACTGTGCCTGCTCAGGGGTTTGGTGTTGTTCGGGCAGGAGGGAGGTGAGGGAGTCAGGATTCCAGCAAGATAATGGTTGGCATGCAGGGCTGTGGTGGGGACGGACCTCTGAGGCTGGAGACCAAAGGGTTTGGAGAGAAGGAAATGAGCAGGACCTGGAAGGGCTGCCCTTGGGGCCGGAAAGGCAGGCCGTGTGTCAGGGGCTCCGGGAGCCATGAGCCTGGGGGCCTCTCCAGGTCAGTGTGGCCAGACCCTGGGAGGAAGAGAAGGGGCTAGGCACGGGCCTGGATGTGTCAAAAAGTGGGCACATCCTAAACAAGGTACACAAAGGCGGGTTTGAAGTTGTGTGGTGAAAATTTTCCTTCAGGCCTGTCTGCTCCTGTCTGCTCAACCAGAGATGGCACAGGTGATGCGGTGTGATGCCTCTCCCCTGCCCCATCCAAGTCCATGTTGAGGGCCTTTACACAGGAGTGCAGGGAAGTGTCCCTATTCCTAGGCCTTGACATGTTCACAGGGTCTGCAGCCCAGTGCCTGGGTCACTTGACTGGGGACAGTGCTGACCTCTGTTACTGGCTTTCTGCTCCCTGCAGGGACCAAGCCTTGGAGCGAGAGCAGGTGCTTCTGCAGCACCACCCCCATCTCAGCTCCCTGGATCTGGATGAAGTGCCTCTCAAACCTGAGCACAGGTGGGGGACGTGGGCACGAGAGGGGCAAGGGCCTGGCCACTTGTGGGGTCTGGGGCGGGGGCGGGGGGGGTAGTCCACGCACCTGCCTCTCAAGGCAAAGGATTTAAGTATTGACTGGCTCTCATTTTCAGACAGAATTTCAGCCAGCAATCTGTGTGTATTTATAAGTTCTCAAGCTCCCTCCTTTTCTTAAACCAACATTCAAGAAAACCCCTACATTCATTCATTCATTGATTACAGAAATATTGGATCATCTGTGCGTCAGGATTCAGTGTGGGCCTTTGAGAACGCAGAGATAGGAAAACACGGCCTACTTGGGCCCAGTTGTCCACCCAAATTTATGGAACCAGGTCACTTGGGGGAAGTAACTCTACAAACCACAATCTAAGAGAAAACTGTCTTTAAAGGGGAGAATATGGCCATGTGACATTTTTCATCCCCCCGCCCCAGAGAAAAGAAGGTTGCTTTTGTCAGTGCTATCATGAGGGGAGTGGGGTGTCTGCTGGCCATGATCTAACTGGGCCATTGGCTGGAGGGAGGGCTGGTCTCATCTGTACTGCAGTGTCTCAGAGATGCCGAGAGACCACAGTTTGAATCCATCATCAGGGTACCCTGTTAGCCATCCCTCTACCCAACTGTCTGGCCAGCCAGCCAACCAGCAAACATCTCCTGAGTCCAACTTTGTACCAGGCTCTGTTACAGACTCTGGGGATACAGCAAAAGCAAAACCAGACAGAAATCTCTGTCCTCCTAAGCGAAGAGAGGTAACAAGTGCTCAGGAGAGAGGATAAAGAAGAGAGGGGGCGGGAGGAGCTTGGAAGGCCTGTGAGATTGCGCATAAGGATCAGGGAAGACCTCGATGAGCAGGTGGCTCGCTTCTAGCAGGGCCATTGTGAAGGAGACGAGAGGCAGCTCTGGGGGCCCTGCAGGGAGAGCATAGTGGCAGCCATGGAGGGGAGGGCTGGGGAGAGGAGGTCCGGGAGGCCAGGAGTGGGCTCGACGCATCAGCTTCTCTGTGAGCTAGCCGCCAGTGAGCTGACCAGGACCCTCTGCCGCCATGTCAAGGATAAACTGGGGAGCCTGGGGCGGGGTGGGGTGGGGGGTGCAAGGGCAGAGGAAGGAGACAGGGGCAAATGAGCCATAGCAGGTATCCTGAGAAGTAAGAGGCTGGGAGGGAGGGAGGGAGGGTGGGTGGTAAGGAGTAGGCACAGTCTGGATATATTTTTAGGGTAGAACTGACAGGATTTGTTGATGAACTGGATGAAGTGTATGGGAGAAAGAGGGGAATCAGGGGGACCCCCCAGGATTTGGGCCTGAGCACCTGGAAGGTTGGAGTTGTCTAATTAAACTGGGGAAGACTAAGTGACGAAGACTGCGGTGGGGGCACTTGTGAGGTCAGGAGCTCATTTGGGGGATCCCAGGGGCGAGACCAAGGGGACGGCTTGGATCCCCTCTTCTGGAGAGGCAGGCCCAGGAGTCACCAAGGTGACGTTTAAAGCCACAAACTGGATGAGCTCACCTGGAGAGCAAGTTTAGAGAGAAAACGGGCCCAGGGGGGGGGGGGCAATGTAGAGGTCACGGTGACCTTGACAGGAGCGGCTCTGGTGGAGTGCTGGGGGTGAACCTGACTGGAACAGGCCCATAGGGCAACAGGAGGAGAGGTCGAAAGAGAAAAATGTGCAGTAGCTGAAGGGGGAAGTAGAGTCAGGAGAGATCTTTCTGTATGTCTCCCTTCCTTTTCTTTCTTTTAATTGGTTCCTCCCTTGCTTCCTTCCCTCCTTCCTTCCCTTTCTCCCTCAGGAACCAAGTGCGCCGGAGGGGCTGGGGTGGACTGCAGGGGATGAGGTCACCTCAGCCATGTGGCTGAGGGCATGTTGGTCAACACGCACTAGATCATCTGCCTGTCCAGGCTTGGGCTTTTTTTTTCTGTCAGCCTGAGTTAGGTTATTAAGCATTGGTCTAAGCAGTGATAGGTCAAGTTTTTGTGCACACTCTAAGTTAGCATTCTGCTTCCACTTACTAAGGGAATGTTGAGTGACAACCTACAGACTTCTTTGGAGCTTCCATTTTAGGACCCCCAAATGGTTTACATTGTTTTTATTGCCCAGAGATGGTTATGAACATCACTGTGGCTGGCTGTTTGCTTTTTTTCCCCTCAAGTTTTTCTGATAACCATCTCTGGACTTGATCAGGGATTAGCAAACTCTGTATTTGTAAATAGTAAATATTTTAGGCTTTGAGAACCATGCAGTCTCTGTGTGCAACAACCGCTCAACTCTGCTGTTGTAACAGGGAAGCTCCCATAGACAATACATAAGCGAATAAACATGCCTATGTTGCAATAAAACCTCGTTTACAGCAACGGGCAGGGGTTGGCCGCAGACGGCAGTTTGCTGACCAGTGGCCTTGGTTAGGAGGACCCCAGCCTCCTCACTGATACTTTCCACTGTGAACACCTGTGAGTGTTCAGATTGGAACAGCCACCCCACATAGGTGGAAAGCTGCTAACATGCTGCCTAGAGGCCCAGAGAACGGGTGCCATGCAGGGCGCACAGCAAACCCAGAAGGGCAGATGTGGAGACTGAATGGAAGCACTGGGTTTGGGCTAAAGGCCTCTTTGGACAAGAGTGCCTTGGTGGCATCATAAGTGATAAAAACAGTTGTCTAAGTTGGGACTCATGGATTTGTTTCCAGGTTTCCTACTCAATGGATACATAACCTTGGAATGAAACCTTTTAAACCCTCTTTAAAATCTCAGTAGCGGGGTGCCTGGGTGGCTCAGATGGTTGTCTGCCTTGGGCTCAGGTCATGATCTCCAGGTCCTGGGATCAAGCCCCACAGCAGGCTCCCTGCTCAGCGGGGAGCCTGCTTCCTGCCTCTCCCCCTGCTTGTACTCTTTCTGTCTCTCTCAAAGGAATAAATAAAAACTCTTAAAAAAAATAAAAAATAAAATCTCGGTAGCAAGAATAACTATTTTAGCTCTTGATGTTTCTACTGAGTGCATCCAGACTTCTGGAAGTCATGGCTTGGGTGTTTTGAAATTCCCCACAGAGGAAAGGGAGTTATCTGGGGAACCGGCTTAAGCCAGGTGTCCCAGGCTCTGAAATCACCGATGATTTTCTGGGCACGTGACATTTTCAAGTAGTACTTTGAGAAAGCCTTTTTGACAACAGCCACTTTGAGGTGGTGGTTTTGATGTGGGATCATTTTGATGGGACAGTTCGACTCTCTGCTTCAAAGAAAATTACTCACTGATCACACAAAGCCAACAGCTTTTTCTATCCCTGAATGGGGCCGGGGAGGGATGTGGATCTGGAAGGGGTGAGGCTGCGGCTAGGGGCCAGCCACCGTCTGCCAGAGCAGTTGTCTGTGACCAGGAGTCACACGCTGGCCGTGGATGCCCGCCGTAGAAGAGACCCACAAGCACCCAGAGCCCAGCATCCCCTCATGCTCTAAGGACTGGCTTGCAGTTTGAATGGATGCCATCCTACGTTCTGTATTTCTTAAAGTTAAAAGACCGTATGTGTGTGCTGGGGCAGGGGACGGGAATATTTCAACCCTAACATCATCCTTTATCCTCACTTTGGGGCTGTACAGGAAATCCCCAATTAGACGTGGAAGAGTCATCTCAGAACTCTTAATAATGCACATACGTTATATTTAGTATCACAAAAGTCCCTTTGTGTGATGGATTGGGGGACAAGACTAAGACCCTTTTACAGATGAGCCTAATTCCTACAGACTTAATAATTTGCACCTTTTCCTTAATATACGAGCAACATAAGCCATAGATCCTCAAAAGCTGAAATGGCAAAGAAATGAATAAAACAGAAGAATGTTTTCCCATCTGTGTGGTGGTTTGCACAGGCCGCTTGCAAAAACCCACAGAAGCAGAAGCTCCCCGGTGTTTCCATGTCATTTCCGTACCGTGTGCCATTTCACCCTCCGGACGGCCCTGTGATGAGCATCGGCACCTGTTCTCGGGTCGGTGGCCAGAAAGGGAGACAAATCTCCTTGGGCCAGTGGTGGGCTGCTAGCTGCCCTGCCTCCAGCACCCGCTGCTTACGTCCCAGACCCCGACAGGAGCCCTGGGTGCTGCTCCCCGCTCCGAGTTCACCGTCCTCTGGTGACAGGAGGGGATGCAGTGCTTGTAGCTTGTTTTCTTGTGCTGTTTTTATTGTTGTCAAATGTGTGTTCTGTCTCTACAAAATCAAGCAGAACACAGTTGTATGAAGTAAACAGGAAATGTCTCTTCTGCCCCCTCCTCCAAATCCTATCCCCTAGGGATGACTTCAGCTCATAGCTGGGCACGTCAGGTGTGTGGGGGGGTGTTGCATGTTTCTAAGAATGTGTGTGTGCATACGTCTGTGTATACCTGTACACACGCGCGCACACACACACACACACACACACACACACACTCTTCCTCTTCTGAAACTTGGCTGTTTCCAGCCACCAGTGCACTGTGGCCGGTCTGTCATGATGCAAAGATTTACTTTGTTCTTAGGAATTGTCTTAACTGCCTCCCTTTTCCCCACTCCCTCTTAAACAGGTCATTCAATCCTGACAATTTTTACCCCTCCCAGTAGAGTTGGAACGTATCCCTTCTTCTCTCTGTTCCTTCCCTGTCTTGGGGACCCAGCTCTGATCTACTAATTGGACTCACAAGGCAGGGCCTGGGCCTCTGGGCATCCCTGGGAAGTCCTCCTGATCACAAGAGCTTGAGGACTGGTGTCCCAGAAGAAGCATCCAGGCTCCTTCCTTGTGTGGATGCCCTCCCTGACCCTGGCCGCACCCAGAGCTTCTCTCCTCCGCCCCTGGCCGACCGTGTAGGCAGTTTTGTGGTCAGCCCATTTGCTGAAGGCTACTGTGGTGATTTATTTACCCTTCTCCTAGACATGCAATGGCAGCCCACGCCTGACTCATCCTTCAGCACCTGGCACCCACATATCGTGGGTGCTCAGTGAAAGTTTGAGCTGAACAAAGGCAGTGGGCGGCGCTGAGTTTGGGAGCAGGACTTCTGGCTCCTGAACTAAAGCCCTGAGGAAGGGGCTGGGATGCGGGACGCAGAGTGGGATGGGGAAGAGCTCCTGAATCTGCATCTCGTAGGCTCCTCCTTTACCAGCAGGTGGCGCTGTCCTCCCCCCCAGTCTTTTCCCCACCAGGCCGCGGTTGCAAGGCAGGGGCACCATCTGGCTTTCCCTGGCCTCCCTCCAGGCTGCAGACCAGGTGTGCCTGCTGACACGTGCCTCTCCGGCTCCTTGCTTTGCCAGGATGCTGGTGGAGAGGTTCTCCGTGTCACTGCAGGTCATCCCACCAGTACATCCCGGGGAGACTGTGTTTCTACCCAGGCGTCAGCCCCTGCACTGCCTCCTGGACCGTTCACAGCTGAAGCCACGTAGCCACCTGGAAGAACTGTTCGTCAGGTAAATGTCGGCATGGGATGGCCAGGCCTGGTCCCTCATGGAGCCCAGTGATAAGGACTGGCCCACATGAGGAAATTCAAAGCTGTGCTTGAGCCAGTTTGGATATGTCAGCTTTCAAGACTATGGGATGAAATAGTCCCACATGTCTGCTTATAACATTTAATTTGCTGATTTGGTTGTACATACTTTTAAAAAGCCCTACGTTGTCGCGAATATTAGGTCGGTTGTATATTTATGTATTCCTACTGCTTTTTCCTCCCCCACACCCCAGTTTCATGGAACAACTGTAGTCAGACTCACCATTACATGCCTTTGGGGTGATGTCTCCCTCAACACTGGAGCCGCTTTCTGGGCCATCCAGCAGTTTTCCAGAGCACGTCATCGTCACTTCCATCTGCTCATTGGAGACACCACCCTTCTTCCGTCCATGTGTGATGCTGACACTGAAAAGTTTGTCCCCAGCCCTAAGTGCACACTGTGTAACATTAGGACATTAGGCTCGACTCCGTGGAAGGAAATTTACGTTCATTATCACACAGCCACGGGCTATGTTGCTTTTTAAGGGGATTTTAAGAGCTTGACCACAATCACATCCAACAGTTGCAGTTGTGAGTTCATCTATCTGAGATTAAGAGAGAAAGCCCGCAGGACTCAGTGCAGCTGACCACTCATGCTCATGAGGCCGACGCCCTGCTGCGCCTTGGTGGCCAAGGGAGGTGGGGAGGAGGCTGCGGGGCCAGCACCAGCCGGTGGGGAGCACAGAGGTTGAACTATCTCTGGTCTCTTGAAAGCAGGAGTCTTGTGATGGTTTCCAGCTATTCAGGGCTTCCTTGGTCTATTTCACTAATTCTAAAGCCATCTCATATCACGGGAAGTTTCAAGTATAGCTAGCGCAGTGTAATGATTCCCCATATAGTCATCACTCAGCTTCGGCAACCAGCAGCTCAAAGCCAATCCTGTTCCATCTCTACCCCTGCCCACTAACATTATCCCCTCAGGATTATTTTTAAGCAAATCCCAGACACATTTAATTGAATCTGTAAGTACTTCAGTGTCTGTCTCTAAAAGATAGGACTCTATCCTTAGATATAACTTCAATGCCATTATTCCATTTAAAAATTACAAATCCTTCATACCATTGCTATCAGTCGGTGTTCAGATTTCCCCAGTCATCCTCTAAATGTGTATTCTCTGTGGTTCAAATCAGGATCTGAACAAGGCCCTAACGTCACCATTAGTCGTAATGTGAGTGGTGAGAGAACATTGCATTGCATTGATGCCTCCACATATTTAGCCATTTTCCTCAGCATATATGTTACTTCCAGCTTTTTTATAAGCGATGTGGTAGAGAACATCTTCATACACAGATATTTGTCTGAAGCATAGCCCCGGAAGCGGCGTGCGGGGACTGGACCTGCGCGTCTGCATATTGGTAAAGGCTGCCGTCGCCACGCTGAGAAGGTGTCTCATAAAGGGTCGATGAAAAGGGGAAAAAAGAAACCAGGGTTGACGAGAAAAGGATAGCGGCGTTGGAGAAAGGGGAGGGGCGGGGCAGGAAGCGGAGAGAGGAGAGGAGAGAGGAAGGCGTCTCGCAGAGCTGCCTCAGCCGGCCACGGTCTGGGTGACAGCAGGGCTCCTGTCCCAGACTGGACGGCCGGCAGGAAGTGTTTGACAGACGACAGGGCCCCCGCAGCGGTGACCTGGGGGCCTGAGCAGCCCTGCCAAATGGGGCCAGGTGGCCGGCCCGCTCCCCTGGGGTGAGGAATTCAGACCCTCCTCCCTCAAGTATGCTAATGAGGCACCGGAGAGGCGGCCTCGCCGGCCGGGAGCCCAGCCCAGACCCTTTCTGGAGGAATGCCCGCCGCCTTCCACATGGTCCGGGGGGGGGGGGGGGGGGGGGGGTCCCCGTGGGGGCAGGGACCCTCCCCCAGGGCCTCATCCTAAGATCGGGGACTCATGTCCTGAGG